AGATGTGTCTTTCATATAATAATAATTTCTTTATTATTTTTTTATCCTCACCTGAGGATATGTTTCCATTGATTTTTAGACAATGTGAAAGAGAAAGGGAAAGACAGAGAGAAACATCAAAATGAGAGGAAGACTTTGATTGGTTGCCACCTGCATGAGCCCTGACCTGGGCCCCGGCCAGGGAGGAGCCTGCAACCTAGGTACATGCCCTTGGTCAGAATTGAACCCAGACCCTGCCATCAGCAGGCCAAGGCATTATCCACTGAGCCAAAGTGACTAGGGCAGGATATGACATTTCTTAGCCCTCCAGCAGCGGACCTTCGTTTTTTTCACCAGGAATATGGTGAAAAACCCTAGATCACCATTTTAGATTCTTATTACCCAAGTTACTAAGAATATTACCAGTGGCATACAGGGAGCTTAACCAATGAGCAGTCAGAAAAGGTGCTTCCTCTGTAGTTCACACCAATCGGCGGCTTGGCACCCACCCACCCCCGCCCCAGGCTTGACACCTCTGGCCCAGGCTTCAGGCCTGGACAGGAGATCCCCATCTCCCCTGATCACGGGCTCCACCCTTGACCAGGCCTGACGCCTTGGCCAGAGGCGTTGACCCCCATCACCCTCCAATCGCCAGACTGGCCCCTTGCCCAGGCCTGACGCCTCCACCAGAGGCGTCAGGCCTGGGCAGGGGACCCTCATTTCCCCCATCACTGGCTCTGCCCCCCGCCCAGGCCTGACGCCTCGGCTAAAGGAGTTGACCCTCATCACCCTCCAATTGCAGGATCAGCCCCTTGTCCAGGCCTGAGGCCTCCGGCAGAGGTGCCAGGCCTGGGCAGGGGACCCCCAGCTGCCCACGATCGCTGACTCCGCCCCTGCCTAGATCTAACGCCTCTGGCCAAGGCGTTAGGCCTGGGCAGAGGACGCCCAGCTCCCCGCGATCTCCCACTCTGCCCCTGCCTAGACCTAATGCCTCTGGCCAAGGCGTTAGGCCTGGGCAGGGGACCCCCAGCTCCCTATGATCGCTGACTCCGCCCCTGCCTAGACCTAACGCCTCTGGCCAAGGTGTTAGGCCTGGGCAGGGGACCCCAAGCTGCCCAGGATCACTGACTCCGCCCCTGCTCCCCGCGATGGCTGGTTCTGCCCCTGCCCAGTCCTAACGCCTCTGGCCTAACCCCCAGCTCCCTACAAACGCTGACTCCGCCCCTGCCTAGACCTAACGCCTCTGGCCAAGGCATTAGGCCTGGGCAGGGGACCCCCAGCTCCCTGCGATTGCAGGCTCCACACCTGCCCAGGCCTAACGCCTGTGAACAAGGTGTTAGGCCTGGGCAGGGGACCCCCAGCTCCCCGCAGTTGCAGGCTCCGCCCCTGCCCAGGCCTAATGCCTCTGGCCAAGGCGTTAGGTCTGGGCAGGGGACCCCCAGCTCCCCGCAATTGCAGGCTCCACCCCTGCCCAGGCCTAACATCTTTGGCCAAGGCTTTAGGCCTAGGCAAGGGACCCCTAGCTCCCCAGACTGACAGGTCCGCCCCTGCCCAGCTCCCATTGCCGGCTCTACCCCTGCTTCCTGCTATCACTGGCCAGGGCAGCAAAGGCGCCAGATTCTCCGATCACGGCTGGGGGACAGGGAGCCACCTTTGCCCTGCCTCCCGGCTCTTAGCTCCCCCCTGGGTTTCCGATCACCATCAGTGGCAGGGGGCTTCTTCCGTCCTTTCCCTTTCGCCTCCCAGCATCGTGCCTACATATGCAAATTAACCGCCATCTTTGTTGGCGGTTAACCGCCATCTTAGTTGGCGGTTAACCGCCATCTTAGTTGGCGGTTAATTTGCATACCATGCTTATTAGCCAATGGGAAGGGTAGCGAAGTTATGGTTAATTACCATGTTTCTCTATTATTAGATAGGATGTCCACAATAGGCAGATCCTATATAATAAAGATGGAATATGCAAATTGACCATACTCCGCCACAAAGGTGATGGCGCCCACAGCGGAAGCTGGGTGGCGGTGGGGTTTCCAGAACACAAGATGGCTACGCCCACAGTGGAGACAAGGGTTTCCATAACACAAGATGGCTACACCCACACCGGAGACCAAGTTCCCGTAACGAGCCTTAATGAGCAATCAGCAGGGACCTGAGGCTAAGCCCGGGGGCTTGACAGGGGACCTCAGGCAGCTGCCCCCGCCCTGGTGGCAGGCTGTGTCCCCCACCCAGCACAGCTTCATGGGTGACCTCAGGCCACGCCCCCCCCGCGCCAGCAGGGCTTGACAGGGGACCTCAGGCCATGTCCCCAGTCCTGGCGCCAGGCCAGGGGACCTTAGGCCATGCCCCCCACCCAGCGGGGCTTGATGGGGGACTTCAGGACACGCCCCCCGCCACTGCACAGGGCCAGGGGACCTGAGGCTGCACACCCAGCCCAGCAGTGCTTGACTGGGGACCTCAAGGTGTGCCCCCCACCCGGTAGAGCTTGACTGGGACCTCAGGCCACACCCCCCGCCCGGTGGGGCTTGATGGGGGACTTCAGGCCACAATCCAGGCCCCAGCACTGGGCCAGGAAACCTGAGGCTGCAACCCCGCCCTGGCGCCAGGCCAGGTGACCTCAGGCTGTGCCCCCTGCCCAGTGGGGATTGACGGGGGATCTCAAGGTGCATGCCCCCCCACCCCGGTGCTAGGCCAGGGGACCTCAGGCCACGCCCCCCCGCACAGCAGGGCTTGAAGGGGTAACTTAGGCTGCGCCCTTCTCCCAGCACCAGGAAGGGGAACCTGAGGCTGCACCCCCTGCCCAGTGGGGCTAGACGAGGGATCTCAGACCACATCCCTGGCCCAGTGGGGCTTGATGGGGGATCTCAGGCTGCATCCCCCACCTGGCAGGGCTTGATGGGAGCCCTCAAGGCACAACCCTGCCCTGGACCAGGGAACCTCAGGCCTCGCCCCCCACCCCTGCACCGGTGGGGCTTGACAGGGGACCTCAAGCCATGCCCCCCACCTGGTGGGGCTTGACAGAGGACCTCAGACTGCACCCCTGGCCCAACGCCCGGCCAGGGGACCTGAGGCTGCGACCCTGCCTGGTGGGGCTTGACAAGGGTAGGGCCGGTCAGGGGTCTGGATCTAGCCCAATGGGGGTGGGCCTGGACGGGTCTGGGTCTTGTGCAATTTCGAGGCACACGTGGGTGGGCAGGGACTTGACTCTGGGTCCCGTGGTGCACCCCAGACTCTGACAGGAGGAAGATTTTCGTATACATTTTACTCATTTTCTTTCATCTCTGACACTATTATAGGGAAAGGGCAAATAGCAATATTAAAATATTTACTCTAAATTAATCCCCTTTTAATGTGCACAAATTTCATGCACCGGGCCACTAGTGTGTGTGTGTGTGTGTGTGTGTGTGTGTGTGTGTGTGTCTGTGTATACACGTATCAGATTTGTTTTTGCCAGGGGCTTAGGGGAAAGGGAGGAATTCACTGCTAACAGACATGAGGTTTCTTTTTGGAGGTGATAGAAATGTTCTGGAATTAGACAGTAGTGAGCACAAAGAAGAACAATATGACTATACTAACAATCACTGGATTACACATATTGAAAGGATAAATTCTATGTCTTGTGAATTTCATCTAAAAAAAATGTCTGGACAAAAAGTAATCTATATCCAAGACAGATGGAAACAATCCTTTTTATGATTTGGCCTCAGAAGTCACAAAGCATTCCTCCTGACCTGTGCACCAGAAGTGAGTCCCTAAGTCTGGCCCACATTCTAAGTTAGGTTTTACACTTATATCATGAAACTCATTATCCTTTCAGTCTCACATGGGGAGGGTATTAACGTCACCCATTACAGATGAAACTCAGGCTCAGAGAGATTCAATACCCTTCCCAAGGCCACAAGGACAGCGGCAGTAGAACTCACATTGGGACCAAGAACCAGCTGACTCCAAACCTGTGCTATTAACCTCCATCCATCAGTGGTGGTTTTTCAGCCGAGACACATCGTTTGTGAAACCATAGACACTTGGGACCACCCCCCTGCCCCAGGACCTCTTAAATCATTTCTGGGGCTTGTTCCAAACACTTGAATGTTTTCCAGCTCCCCAGGTGTTCCTCAGGTGCATTCTACATATAGAACCACCCCTATGTGTCTGATGGTTTTATACTATTAACATGGGTAACTGGATCTAGCTGGATGGTGAGTGCCTTGGGGACAGTGTCCCTGCCCAAGCTTCCTGTGACTGCCACTGTGACAGCACAATGCCTGCCGGCAGGAGGCAGGCACTCAGGCAATATCATTGGACAGAAGGATTCAGAGCAAACTGCCACTCAGAATGTCAACTGCCAAAGGATTCCGCAGGAACTGAGGGGCGCACAGTTGGCACTTGGGAGCTGGCCTATCTGGCCATTCTCTCCAGGGGGCAGGAGGTTCACGGGCCCACTTGGTGGGCAACCCCTGCTGCCAACTGGGGCACCTCAGCTCAGCCCAGAGCAGAGGTGTTAGGAAGTAACTCTCTACCCAAGCTTCCTCTCCCAGTTCCCAAACTTAGAGCCCCAGCATAGGGCCTAGAATTCACTGAGGCTGTTCATTCAACAGCCAATCAATCAACATGGATCACCGAAGCCGATCTCGCAGCAGAGGCCTGAGCCGCATCCCTGGGACTCATCCCCGAACCCCCAGTGCCCCACTCCCCTTGCATGTGGAGCAGGAGGCCAGGGAAGGAGAATGGGAGCAGCGAGAGCTCCCTGGTCAGAGGACTGCTACCTACTCGCCTGCGGAAACTGAAGACTTGCCAGACAGTGTTATGGGTAAGGACAAGCTCTCCCCTTCTCGGCAGAAGGGAGGTGGCTTCATATTTTTCTTCCTTTACCCACAGAAAACAGGGGTCAGGGAACAGAAAGCACAACTTACAATGGACAGGACTGGGGTGAGGGATGAGTTGGGAAAGGGCAGGTTCCTATCTGCCTCAAAGGGCTGTCACAGGACCAAAGATATAATATGTGAAAGTAACTGAAACCGGGACAGGCTGTTGGGAACTTTATTAGGTGTTATTTACAAAACCAAGTACTTACAATAGCAAATCCCATGTGCCAGGAGCCTTGGGAAACAGATGAGTTTGACAGTGACTTTGACCCCAGGTAGCTGACAATCTAATAGAGAAAAGTCAAACAGTTAGGATAGCTTCTGTGGGATTCAGAAAGATGACAGGGGCTCAGGAAGATAGGAGGGGTCCTGGGGACAACAAAACTGCCCATGGTCCCCATCTTTTCGGTGGGTGCTGGGTGTCACCTCTCCCGCCCTGCCCTCGTTCTCCCCTGCCATTCTAGCAAATGGGTGAGTAATGGGGTAATTGTCGGAAGTTGGAACAACACTGTGCTGGGAGAGAAGGTAAGTTCTGGGAACGTACCAAGTGCTGATTTTAAAAAATAAGACGTACCTTAAGGCAGACAGTGTTAAGTCACCAAGCTGTGGCTTCCCGGCTGGAAAAGTTCCTTTCCTGCTGGAAGAGAATAAATTGTCTTAAGATATCGCTTTTCAGGTTAGACTTTTCTCCAAGTTTTCCCAGGACTTAAAAGGGCTGCGGCCGGTGCGGGAAGTCAGGGCACTGTTCACCCAGCTCGGCGCCAGGAAAAGCAAAAGAAATGCTAAAGGTATAAAAGGCACACATTTCAGAGGCAGAGGGTTCATTTCACCTTTGGGGAGGCGGCAGGCTGGTGTGCTGCAGCGAGGCTCTTTAGGAGAGGGCGTGGGCAAGGATGAGAGGATGTAAAACAGGCTGAGTGCAAACCCCCCCATCTGTAGTGGCGGCAGGCCCGGCTCCTGTAATGGCGGCTGCCCGGCTCCTGTAATGGCCGCAGGCCAGTCTTCAAGGACGCTTGTTGGAAGAGATGGGCCTAGAAGGGCGAGCAGGGCCTAAGACAATGCTGAGAGCCGGCAGAAGAGAGGGCAGGAGAGCAGGAGACCAGACACAGTCGAAGCCATGAAAGGGGCTCCCACTAGTTAGACTTCCGGCTGGCCGCAGCCTAGGCATGCGCATTGCTGTCTGCCCCAGGGCGCATGCGCACGTTGCCGTGAGGGCGGGGCATAGAGCGGGCAGGGCCAGGATGAGGGACAAGTGTGAACAGCGCAGGTTTCCTCTCTGCCTCGAAGGGTCCTCGCAGGTGTAAGAACATAATACATGAAAACAGCTTGACACTGAGACAGGCTGTGGGGAGTATTAGGTGTTCCTTATAAAATCAAGTGCTTACAGTAGCAAATACCATGTACCAGGTGCCTTGGGCAGCAAAGATGAAGTCGACATCGAGCTAGAATCAGTGATGGCGAACCTATGACACGCGTGTCATTTTTTTGGTTGATTTTTCTTTGTTAAATGTCATTTAAATATATAAAATAAATATCAAAAATATAAGTCTTTGTATTACTATGGTTGCAAATATCAAAAAATTTCTATATGTGACACGGCACCAGAGTTAAGTTAGGGTTTTTCAAAATGCTGACACGCCAAGCTCAAAAGGTTCGCCATCACTGAACTAGATTCTAGGGAGCTGACAGTCTAATAGACTCCTGCGGGATTCAGAAACATGACAAGAGCTCACAGGAGGATAAAAGGGATTCTGGCCCCTGTAATGTGATGGGATAATTGTCATAAAATGGAACAATAATGTGCTGGGACAAAGTCTGGTCTTCTGGGAACTTTTCAAATCTTGATGGGGAAGAAGAGAGAAAAGATACCTTGAGACAGGCTTAGGTCACCTAAGTGCCTGGCTGCCCTTGCTTGCTGGAGAATAAATGATTAGACCTTTCTTCTCCCCAGTTTCTCAGGACTTAAAAAATCTGCAACTAGAGAGGGTAGTCATGGCACTGTCACACAGATCACTTCAAGGAAAAAACTGTTATAAGTATTAAATGCAAGCGGTTCAAAGGCAAATAGGTTAGTTTCACTTTGTTAAGGGGGATGGTGTGCTTGTGGTGTTGAGCCTTTTTGGAAGAGGTGGGCTTGGAAACCGTGCAGACGGGAGCGCTTGAGGCGTCAGTCAGTCACTGGACAGGCCAGCCACTGGCCACTCCAGAAAAACAGCTTTCGCTGAGTTGGGCTGAGCGCCAGGCCGGTCCGCCCCAACGCGCAGGCGCAAAAGTGGGCAGGGGCGAGCAGGCCACGTGGCAGGGCTTGGGGGTGGGGTAGGGGTGGGAGTCGGGGCAGCCTGGAATCCCGAGAGCCGGGAGCAGGGGGCGGGGGTCCGTGGGCGGGGGGGGAGGGCGGGGAGGGCGGGGCAGCTCTCGCGAGGCTGAGCCCGGGCTCGCGGGGTTGTCAGCGCGCGATTGTAGCTGCCTGGCGGCGGGAGAAGTAGCGCTAGAGCCAAAGAACGTGTGTCTGCGCTCGCGTGGTCATGGAGGCGCCGGGGCTGCCGCCAGCCGCGAAGACTCCAGCCCCCAGCCGGAGCCTCCGGCTGCTGCTGCTGCCACTACTGCTGTTCCTGCTGCTGGCCCAGACTCTGCGGGGCTTGGAGGCAGAGGAGAGGCCCCGAACCCGTGAAGAGGAGTGCCACTTCTACGCGGGGGGACAAGTGTACCCGGGGGAGGCGTCCCGAGTTTCGGCCGCCGACCACTCCCTGCACCTCAGCAAAGCCAAGAGTAGGTGGTGCCCCGCCAAGGGGGGTTGACCGGTGGCTGAGGGAGGCGGGAAGTTGGGAGGACCACGGGACACGTGCGCCCTGCTTAGGCTACCTGGGAGCCTGACTTGGGCGGCGCCCCCTGTCCTGCCTCCGGTCCCTGGGCGGGCCTGGCTCTTTCATAGCGGGGCAAGGGAGGAGGGTTCCTGCTTTGAGAAAGGGATTGTTTCCACTTACCAGATTTTGTAAGTAGTGGTTACCCCAAAAGCCGCAGACAAAGGAACGGGGGTGGTCCAGGTCCCCTTGCAGGCATCGGAGGATGTTGTGCAAACTGAAACACTTCCTCAAACATTGCAAAGTGGCTGCAGCATATCGCGTCTGTTTCCAAGTACTATTCCAGAGAAGAATAGGTTAAGTTGAATAATGATTCATAGAAAGTTTGATTAAACAGAAAAGTGGCTAAACAAAATGTTCAGGAGAGCAAACATTTCACCTTTCTCTTTCCTTTTGTTTTCTTGTTTTCATCTTATAAAGACTATTAAAAGCCCTTCCCCAAAACATACATAATAAATGGGTATTCTTTGTGTCTCTTAGAAATGAAGAACTTCTTACAGGGTGTATTTTGAAGGGAAAGGAAAAAAGGTTCAAAGTAATGTATTTTGGTTGATGATAAACCTCATGGCAAATTTGTGTCCTGCCAGTTTGGCTTTTGATTATTTGCATTTCTGTCCAGTGTACACAGGTAATGGCCACTTTCAGGAAGGACACGTCAGACTGAGACACTGAGAAAGTTATGGCCTGCTGCATCTAGATGTTAAGATTAGCCAAAAAGAACTGAGCAGGGATTAAAGGATAAAGACTGTCCCTTGCTTGCTTTAAGTAACCTGTTTTTCCTACAGATCAATTAGCATTCTGGAGATATGTATTGTGGTTCAAATACACCATGTTCTATGCCCATATTCAGTGAAAAAAGTATGCTTCACAGTTATGAATCCTCAGTGTTAAGTGGGATGTTACAACTTAGGATGGAATGGGAGTAATAAATAAGAAAAACTGTTTTGCCTTCTTAAACATGTGGAGTTCTTTCCTACTGAAAGTTAACTACTTTTGGATTTTTTGTTTTTAAGAAACCAGCCTCACGCTTTTATTTTTTAAACAACATGTGTTTATTATTTCACAGGAGGCCTTAGCTGGGTTCTCTGCTCAGGGTCTTATAACACTGTAGTCAGGATGTTGGCTGGGCTGCATTCCTTTCTGGAGCTCACCATTCTCTTCCCAATTCACATGGTGGTGGGCAGAATTCAGTTCCTTGAGGTTAAGGACAGGGTCCCTGTTTTCTTCCTGGCTGTGACCTGGTGCCATGCTTAATTGCTAGGAACCAGCCGCTCGCAGTTTCTTTATTCACACGCCCTCTCATCGCATGGCAGCTTATTTTGAGTCCCAGTCTTGGGCTTTTAAAATCACAGCATTTCAAAGTGTCATTAGTTTCACTTACCTGGGAAGATATTTTGAACTGTGTCAGCCAGTTAAGTGTTCAATGGCATTACATTATATTTCCCATAAGAAACAAATCCCATCCAAGTCTGCTCATAAAAGCATAAGACATTGGTAATAGATTTCCCTTTACCAGAGAACTTCAAATTTTAGATATTTGCTACATCTCTGTGTCATGTAGGTTTATCTAGAATTAAAGATACGAGGACTTTTATTCATAGAGTGGAATATTATAGAGCCATTAAGGTCATACTTTGAAATAATTTTTAGTGACATGAAAACTGTTAGATTTACTGTTGCTTTTTTTAAAGGGGTTCAGCATGATCCAAATTTGTGTTTAGAGAAAAGACTAGAAGTAAAGACATCAGAATGTTAACAGTAGTTAAATTAATGGGGTTATGGGAAGAGAAGGTTTAAATATCCTTTATACTGCTTTGCATTTGCCAGAATCTGTTACATGATTTATATTTGAGATTTTAATACACACAAGGGGTTGCTTTGGGAATTCCATTTATAGATCTTAGCAAAGTTAACTGCATTCTTTTTTTGCTCCATAAATTGATGACAGTTTTTTTTTCTTTGAACTAACTTTGTAATTCTTAAATCAAGAACCCAAAATTTTCAAACTCAGAATTTTGAGAACAAAATTTATTCCTCAGATTTGGTTTTCCTCATATGCTAAAATCATTAAGGAATAACAGGTCATTATAATTCCAACCACAAATCTACTTAATATATCCTGTTAACCAATCCCATTGAGTAGCATTTTCAGTAATGTATACAAAGCATGTATAGTTCAGTACCCTTCTACTAATTCCCCTCTCGGCCTTTACCTAATCAAATCAGGATATTTATATGAGGTAGGCTGCTGACTCAAGACAATTAATCCTATGTTATATATTAACTTCACAGAGAAATTCATCTTAAGTTTACGTCTCTTTTCAGAGTGACCAAAAATGCTGGCTATTATACAAAATATAGTAAATGCTGGCTATTCTGAGCCTTACTTTCTAGGAACCATAGTCAAACTTGGAAACAAGGATTGACTTCAATATATGTAATGGTTCTGAAAGTTTAAGTGTTATCTGAATGTAACAGATGATCAAGGTATATTATCAAAGCGCGTTGGCTAGAATTACAGCATGCCCTTACAAGAGAGCAGCACCAACGATTCAATTTCCATTAGGTCACTTGAAACCTGTTCAAGGGGGTCTCTTCTTTCAAAGCCCTCTAGGAAAATAATCTCATGGTCTGGGGTTGTACACTTCTGGCCTGATGTATTTGCAAATTTCCTACTCTTTGAGTGTGGCAACAGGTCCTCCATGAGTATGTGAGAAACTGGCCAAATGTTTAAATTAGCACATCTGAAAGACTGCCATTAGGGAAAGGCATATCTAATTACTTGAAATACAGGAAGTTATTCAACTTGGAGGGGCTATAGTGAAGGATCCAATAGAGTGTAGTGCAGGGATGGAATGTGGGGGGGAGGGTGCTGTGAGCATGAATAGAATTAAAAGTATTATCAATAACCTCCAACTGAAATTGAGCATTTCTTTCCATTATAAACATCAGCAACAAACCACATTAGCTTCAGCAGTACTTGCTTGTACCTGTTGTCAATAGACCCCCAGGTATTTTCATGCCATATTGTGGTTGTTGGTTGTTACAGGTATCCTGAAACATCATTTATACTCTTCACTATTTTTGGTAGTTAATTAGATCACGCTAGATCCTGCATTTTTAAAGTCTTAATAAAAGGGAACATGTATTACTACATCACCAATTACTACATTATCTATTTGGATAATTTCATTTCAATATAATTGCTTTCCTTTGTAATTGTATATATTTTATATATCCAATAACACTATTCTGAGAAGTATGTAAGCTTCACCAGACTGCTAGAGAGATCCAAAGGTTTAGAAGCCTTGATTTTTAGTGATTTCCTAAAGCTCTTCTGTCATCCCATCAGTTTTCTCAGTGTTAAAAAACATCCTATATTTTTCTTTCTTAGTTTCCAAGCCAGCACCTTATTGGGAAGGAACCGCTGTGATAAATGGAGAATTTAAGGAGCTCAAGTTAACTGATTATCATGGAAAATACCTGGTTTTTTTCTTCTACCCACTTGATTTGTAAGTAATACATGTACAAAGCAGCTAGTAAGACCTCAGTTATTACCGATCATTAATCAAGGTCAGGCTCAATCCCCAGCAGGGGGTGTGTAGGAGGCAGCTGATCAATGGTTCCCATCATTGATGTTCTGTCTCTCCCTCTCCCTTTTCTGAAATCAATAAAAATATATATTTTAAAAATTGTTTAAAAAGAGTTTATTTACAAATAGGCTAGATTTGGCCTGTGGCTGAAAGTTTGCTGACACCTAGTCTAACCAAATGGGAAGGATTCTCATAAAAATTAGTACATTGAGACTAATACAAGTCATGAAGCTACATAATACATAACCTTTTAAATTAGCTTGACTAGCTAAAATGTATAATATATTCTAATTTCCAATAGAAACCAGAAGTTGAAGTTTTAATATATAAAAAGTATAGGCTTTCTAAATTCATGTTATAAAACCAAAAAGTTAAAACATATGTAAAATATAACATTAAACCTGAATTCTGAAATTAGTCTAACATAGCAGACAAATATGCTCTGTCTCTCAAGTGTTATTTAAAACTCCATAATGAATAAGACATAGCTAATCATGCATGATGTTAGCAATGGTCTTCTGGCTAAGATCGCTTCTTACTGTTGTTTCTGTATAAAGTCAAACTGGGCCTGGTTAGATAAGGAAGAATTCTCAGGCATTTGCCACAGTCTATAACAGTGATGGCGAACCTATGACAGGCGTGTCAGAGGTGACACGCGAACTCATTTTTTTGGTTGATTTTTTTCTTTGTTAAATGGCATTTTATTTAAATTTATTTATATATTTTATAAAATAGAAATCAAAAATATAAATCTTTGTTTTACTATGGTTGCAAATATCAAAAAATTTCTATATGTGACACGGCACCAGAGTTAAGTTAGGGTTTTTCAAAATGCTGACATGCTGAGCTCAAAAGGTTCACCATCACTGGTCTATAAGCATGAAAGTCACAAACAATCCTTCAGTTTTCTGCCAGACCTTTTTCTCTGTCTTCACTAAGAAGTCAGGCAAATAAATGTGTCTCTAGATAGCATTTCTTGGGATAAGAGGAAGGAAGGTAGGGACTGACCATTCCTACATTGTGGAAAATATTAAAAATATAAATTATAGCCCAGTTTCCAGGGACGTAATCTAGATTAGAACTTTATGCTTGCATATGACAATCCTCCACCTGAACAACTGAAACATTTGAAAAGCCTATGTTGGGGTATGGTAGGAACTTGGCCCCTAAATCTACATTTTTCAAACTTTCTTGGCCATCACACACAATAGGAAATAAATTTTCAATTGCTGCCCAATACACTTACACATACATAAACGGTAACATTCAGTGTGTATGCACCAGTATAGCCGTGTTATACTGAAATACTGAAAAACTTCCATACCAGAGGGTAAATAGCCACTTTCTCAACCCCTTCCTCAAGTTGCTCCTCCTACCTGATCCTTTTTCAAAACCTCCAGCACTAAAGCCCATATATATATATAAAGCCTAAGCAATCGGCCAGTAGGTATGATGTGCACCGACCACCAGGGGGCAGATGCTCAATGCAGGAGTTGCCGAGTGACAGAGAGACAACAACTTTACAGAGTGCCCTCTCGCACTCTGGAACCCCTCGGGAGATGTCGGACTGCCAGTTTCAGCCTGATCCCTACAAGGCCAGGCCGAGGGACACCACCTGCCGGAGGGACCCTGCTCACTCCACAGACACCCTTCAAGCCCTGGCGCCACCCCAGGTGTGGCCAGC